TATCACCTTTAAAGCCCTACATGGCATGGGACCAGGTTACCTAAGGGACTGCCTCTTCCCCGTGACTTCAACGCGTCGCACCTGATCATGCAGAGAGGGCATGCTTTGGACCCCCTCGGTAAAAGAGGTCCAATTAGCAGGGTCCAGAAGGCGGGTGTTCTTGGCCGTGGTCCCCGCCCTTTGGAATATCCTGCCCCCAGAGTTGAGATTGGCCCCTTCACTCCTGGCCTTCCAGAGGAGTTTGAAGACCTGACTCTGCCGCTTGGCCTGGGGTGAGGAGGGAAGACACCAAGCGTGGGGATGGCTAGTCCCTTAGAAGCCTTTCGTCTGCTGCTTTGGAAACCATCAACTTCTTGGATTTTTTCTTTTTTGGTAATGCTTTGTATAGTTTTTATGTTCTCTGTAATTTTATATATATTTATTGTTCTAATGGATCATGTGAGCTGCCCAGAGTCTCCCATTTGGGGGAGATGGGTGGAGATAAATCTAATAAATAAATAAATATTTAACTTTATATTAAATATCATAATTATATTATTTTAGAAACTGGAAGAAAAATAATCTCTACAGAGACATCAGTTGCACTAACTTCCTTAAATTTCAGCTGTTTTATATCTAGAAATGTCATTCAAAACTATTTATTTTATGATTTCTTTACATAAAATGTTCATTAGCCAGTTTTACATTACTGAGTACCTTATATTGTTCTAAAAATGCAGGTCATTGTTAAAATTTATTAAGTATATAAATGTCAGTGGCAATTGTCGGCATGATATAATTCATGAAGATAATGTTAATTTTTTACAAAGCAACGCATATTACAACTGTAGCTCAATTAATGATTGCATATAAGTTTTAAATTTCTTTTGCGATGGGGGAGTGGAAATTTTATTTACTGTAGGATTTATTTTGCACATATTAAGAGACACGTGTAGCCTTTCCTCAGAAATATACAGTTCTGATATGAAGACTTTCTTTTCTATATACCATAGGATGCTCATGAAAAGTGATTCTTACAATGTTGCAACATTTGAGGATCCACTCTGCAAAAGCATTTCTAGCCATAACATAAGGTTATTGGTTTAAAAGGTAAAACCAAAAATAAGCAAAGGAAAACTTGAAACCCCCACCCCCAGACCTAGCAAACACAGGAAAGGAGCCTTAATAGTACTGTAACAAACTCTATGTGTGGTTAGTAAGGAATAACTAATGTATTAAGCATGATTCTGAGAATATGCTACAATTAAGAAGAAGACATGTCCATGGCTGTGGGAGAGAACTGACTGAGAGTGCCATGAAATATATAGAGGAGTTCTGGAGGGACAGGGGAAAAGCCCACCAAATCAAATCAAATCAAACCAAACTTTATCATCATCATAGACCAATGTAAAAAAAAATATTTGGAAAGAGCAAAGGCAGAGGGGGAAGACCTTTTGTTCTGGTCCTCAGAGCACCAAGAAGTCACCTGGTTCAGTTCAGTGACAAATGTTTTTTGGTGGAAATCAATCCTGATTCCTAAGCCTTCCTTTTGGCCAAAAGGTATCCCTAAAAAGGTGCCAGTAGTGATGGAGTCACCACAATGCTGCTCTGCTATGACAGCCCTCAGCTGCCATTTAAAGAAAAGAAGATCAGCTGTTGAAAGATGACCTGAGGCCACAAGAAACAAACTAAGAAAAAATAATACATAATATAAAACATAATATTTTCTAGGCAACTGGCTAACAGGCACTTATAATTTTTCTTCACAGTCCACAGAACAGATAGAGAAAACCCAGGAACTAAAGTGTCAATTAACATGTAAGAACTGTAAAATTCTTCTGCCAAATACGTATGATCAAAAAAAAGCAAAGCATGAGGTGATCCCAATCTTATTATACATCCTGCCTTGCTCACAGAATTTAATGAGGATGTACAAGGATTTTTTTTTCTTTTCCCATTGTTTTTTATACCCTGTAAACCAAAAAAAGAAAAAGAAAAAAACAGATAAAACAGAGGGAAAGATGAGATAATTACACAGTCTCTTTTTATTATTAGTTTAGAAGACTTCTATCTAGAAATACTTTACTTTTCTTTATTATAGATTTTCTGGTGAGACTTCATTGTCACACAAACATTTTCTCAAGATATTTGGTCCCTCCTTGCACAGATAAGTGATACCAAATGAAGTCCGCTATTCACTGAGTATGCCAAACAGAAAGTCACTGTATTCTGGCCATACTATCAGACTCAAACTTTCATTTTTTTTTTAAACCAGGCATCATTTAGGCTACATTTCATCCATCTGATGCCCTTCAGATGTGTTGAGACCAGCCAGCTTTGTTGCCAACTGTAAGGATGCCATCTCAAACTACAAAACCCTTCTTATCCAAATCACATCAAGAATCACAAAGTTCTAATTCTAAAATTTTCCTCTCTGTCCTTCTTCCTGGCCTTAGAAAAGAGAAACAGACAAGTTTTGTGACAAAGAACACTCTCTGAAAGCAATTGCAATACCCCAGATTATTATGCTTGCCAGCTGAATTTCAGCCACTGTTAAAAGAATAACTCAATTAAATCATAACATTTAACTAGGCTTGGCGCACCCAATTGCCTAAATGAGCAAGGCATTTCTCACTCATTTTGCAAAGGCAAACAAAATTTTGCCACCAAGCATCCATTCAACTGGAAACTAGTAGGTTTGTTACGAAGCCAATTATAACAATCCTACTTGCCTAATATAAGTGTTTACTAATACAGTTTGCTGCATTTGTGTTTTAAACGTACTGTGCAGTTGTACATCTACGATAATATAAGTTCCTTCCTTCCTTCCCAAGTTACAATACACAGAATGGATCTTATGCGTTTCATACCACCTGCTTAAAAAACAAGAATCAATGATCCGTGCTGGAAATTTGACAGCAAAGGTAGAAAAGTCAGGTTTTCAACAAAAACTTCTAAACACACATTATATTGAAGCATAAAGCTACTGATTTCTTAACAGCTCCATGCCCTGTAGATAGGTAAGCAAACACTTGCGTCTGTTAGATTGTTATGTACATTTGAGCATGGAACACCTCAGTACTTACCCTGACTACACTGAAGTCCAGCTTAGTTTCTTGTGCACACTGTAATATGAGCTGAAAGCAATTTTTACTCTGATTTGTCATTCCATTTTCATAGTAACGCTGCAATATCCTCTGTTGTTCTGCAGTAAATACAGAACGCAGATTCATCTAAAAATAAAAGAAGATACTCTGAAAATAGGAATAATTTAATACTTACAGGGTTTTAAAAGAAAACAAGCTCCCATTTATCTAAAGAAATAGAAAACTACAGTAGACTGAGTCTAATTTATTCTGGTTCCTCTGTGGATATTCTTAAATATAGTTTGCGAACACTCCAAACGAAATGAAGCAATAACTGTTTACATCCAGGAATTAGTGTAGCTGAACACAAACAGAACTCCAATACTATTAAAATAATTAAAAGGTTTGTTTACAAGAGAAAAAACAGGCTTTGTCTCTTCTCAGTAATACTCAAAAACAAGAAATGGGACACTAGGTGAAGCTATAGACGGGGAGATCTTGGTTCTCTATAGTTTCCAGAGACACAATTGACAGAGAGAAGTGGAACCTACTTCATTCTTCCCTGACATACACCTCTTTCATTGCCCCTGAAGAATGCTGCGCAGGCTGAGACTAATGTGACCTGAAGTCCCAGATATCTGGAAAGTTGCAAGTTGGAGAAGACTGGTATTGTGGCCATATATCACTGAACTCAAAGCACTTATTTTCATTGGAAGAAGGTAGAAACATACAATAGAAGGAAACTTTCTAAGAAGGCAATTACTGTAGATCCTTGGTCTATCAGGAAAAGGGATAGAGATAGCAACTTGACAGCAATATTTTGCCACGGATAATGCAGAATGAATGAATGAATGAATGTGTGCATAAGTGTGTGCATATGTATGTATGTGTCTAGCGTGTGTCTATCTATCTGTATCTATATCTATATATCTAGCAACTACATTTTAGCCTAGCATACTGTATAGACTCACCATGCACTTAATTGTGGTTCAGTGTGTCATGCGAATGTAGAAAAATAGGTTGGGTAAATCATGGTATATAGACAAACACAAATAATATATCCCTTTAAAGAGAGATTTATTTTAAATTAAATAATGGCTGACATGAAAAGTTTATAGAATTTACCAATACATAAGCAAATAAAGAGGATTTTTTTTTATACTGAGAGTTCACCTATTTTCAAAATAAACTGGGAAGGGGAAAGAGACCAGTAGCCTAAACTGATGAAGACCCAGGTGCTAAACAATTATATAATTTTGGGGTTTTGCCATAGCTTGTTGTGTAAAACCAGTTAGTCTAGTTTGTAAACAATACTTGAGACTTTAGCATGAACTGAGCCAGCTATGGTTTGTCCAGTAACTTATAATTAAGCCCATCATAGCTTGGAGTGATGAGTTTATCCAACCCATGGCAAAATGTGACTTGTTACATCATATATAGGTTTTACCATTGTAACCTTTTCATGATTCATGTTATATTAAATAGATTCTTTCAAGCAAATATATTTTTCTTTAAAGTTGTCACTGATTTTGGCTAAGAAATACTTCAATTTTGTCAGATATTCAATAGGACTTGGGCCACACCACGAGTTACTTCAGGAACAATATGGACACTGCCACCTTAGCAGTTGCTTCCCCTGTTTTCTGGGTTACGTGCTCACTCCCCTAATAATGAAGAGGTGAGCAAGCTGCTAATCCATATTTGTAAGTCAAGATGTAAGTTGTTCCTCTTGACAACCCTTCATCAATATATTGGGATTATTAATCAGGATCTCAAAGTTACTTATTGATTCCATACTTTAAACAGAGAAACATCAAGTCTGATTGGAAAGTCAATAACTGAAATGAAGCAAACAGTAATGAAAAAGACTTCCAATATAGTCAGTGAACAAAGAAATGGTAAAAACACTTCTGATAAAGGCATTCCAAGATTGCTAGTTAGCTTTTATTTCTAGTACGTGATGTATGCTATAATTCATCAAAGTAGACATTACCCAAAAATTACACTGAAACCCAATGTTTTTATGCTGAGTGACAACAAACAACAATCCTTATAATCATTAACTTATTTTAAAATGAACTTTCTCACATAAGATGTACCCATAACAGATCATAAAGGTATTTTGTGCACTTTTCTATTTCAGAAAGTTGACTGGATCATCTAAATGACTTATACCCATGTCAGCTGAACTCTTTATATCACTGCACAAGCAGCTTCTAGTACATATAAACTTAATGGCACTATAAATCTCTTTATCTTTAAGGTGCCACAAGATGTGCATTATGTATACTATGAAAAATGCAATTATACCTGTGTTCTTCTCTAGCTCTATTATGAAGGAAACCATATGCTCAGTTCCAGAAAATGCTTAAATTGGCTAGAACAACTCTGAGGATTTTCTTCCTTATTATGATGCCAGAAACAAGTACTGACACTTCAGTGCAAGTGCCCCTCTAAAACAAAAGCTTGGATTTAATTGAAAAACCATATAAACATACAACCACTTGTAATTTTCATGCCATGAAACAACAAATAAATAGAGCATTCTACTACTATAGCCACATACCAAACCACAGGATGAATAGCTCTAGGGTGGAGTAGGTACGCTTCTCGTACTAATGCCATAAAGGACAATCCAAGGAAGACACAAATAGTCAACGCAATGCAGCCAATCAGAACCACTCATGGTCATACTGTATTTTGAGAAATACACATTTTGTTCCTTGCTGGCAAGTTGCAAAGAAGGTACAAATACTAGTTCTGGAACAGTAAGTGATTCCATATATCTGTCCCCAGAAATTTCTATAAGCTAACTTTTAATGGAAGACTGCCACCTAAAGTCAATAGAAATTGATGCTGGCCATACCATGCTTTCCCCATAAACATATTACTCTACTGTCTGCATTTATTTGGGGAAGACATGAACAGAAAAACAATGAGGAAAATTATATCAAACTAAGTAACTGGTATAAGCCTACATAGTAAGTTCAGGATATGAAAGCTAACAGAAAAAATGCTGCTTGCAACCAACATGGTTAAGTTCCAGGTATGAACCCTTCTACAAGTCTATTATTAGTCTATTACCCACTTTTGAATTCTTCAGTAAATTGGACAAATCTGTTAGTTGGTCCCATATTGTACCCCAAACTAGGTAGACAGAAAGATAGCAAGCAAATAAATTGGGACCATATATACACCCCACAACCACCATTTTAGGAAGAAGACTGCATTCCTAGTGACCATTAACAGTTAAAACTAATGCAAAATTAAAACAATGTAAACAACAAAATAGGAACAAGACTATTTTTAAAACAAAAATAGTAAAAGTAGAGAGACAGTGGATACAAATATAAATAAATTTCCTACTTCACAGTTCCTGAAGCTTCACAGATCAGATGTGGCCACTTTTTTTCTTGTTTCTACCATTGCAAGAGTCTGTCTATCAGATCTTATAGTGCAGAATTTCTCAACCTTGGTAACTTGAAGATGTGTGGACTTCAATTTCCAGAATTCTGGGAATTGAAGTCCACACATCTTCAAGTTACCAAGGTTGAGAAACACTGTTATAGTGTGTTTAGGCTAACATGGGGTAAGCAGTTTCTAAAATATCTGGACCTAAGCCCATTACAGATTTAAAAATCAGAACCAATGCTCTAAATGGTGTCTTGAAAGAAACAAATAATCAGTATAGCCCTACCTGTGGGCATGCACGAATATTCTCACTGCTGCATTTTGGACCAAGTGCAATTTCTATAGACTCCCTGAATACAGCACATTATCATAATAAAATTTAGAGGGAAGAAGAGGTTTACCATGACCACATGTGATCCCATCAGTAACAGATACAGTTGCTATACCAATTTAAGGTGAGCAAAGGCTCTTAACTGCCACCTGAACCTCCTGGTGCAAAGCTGTTTTCTGAAACTTCCCTAAACTGTGAACCTACTGTACTACACCACCCAAAATAGGTTGCATCTTTATTTCAGAGTCTCTCAGCCCTCTTACCACGGAGGAACTGTTAAAATAATTTTCAGGTGTCAGGGCACCTCTGCATAAAAAAATTGTATCTATAGCTCATGATATGAAGTTTTCTG